GGGGGTTGGGGACCGCTGGTATAAATGATGTGTTGTTTATATTTTAAGGGATTCATGCAAACCCACGTGCCATAACGCTGCAGAAAACATCCTGAGGCTACACAGTTATGCAAACTACAATGTCATAAACGATATATTTAGAGGAGAGATAACAGATATTTAAAAGCACATGAGAAGTAAGACATGGTTTTAATAATTTTCCCCAATTTTCATATCGTTTCCAATAATCAATGTAATAATTGCTCCAAACAGCTCCGGCGTCTGAAAGACAAGCCAATAAATGACAAGTTTATCTCCCACGGAGATGATTTAAAATCGCTGGGCCAATCAAACTTCACCACACGGCAGGACTGGAAAGGAGTAAAGGGTGGAGAGCTTGGTGTCATATCATATCCATATTCATTCCATACGTTTGAAGTGGAAAGAAGGCGGCTTTAATAATCATGGCTACACGGTGTTCAAAGAGAGATGAGACATGAGGAAGAGGAATATAGACTGAATGAGGAACTTCAAAGGGTTTCCGCGTACACTGCCATATCTGTATACACACAGAAAACACACACTCACATGCACGTACACTGTACTGTATTTACATATAAATGTCTATAACCGAAGGCGTCGCGGGAAAATAAGACAAAAAGTTGCTGCACGTGAGACACGCGGCTCAGTAACATTAATTACCACAACAATAAGTAAAAAGTAAGTCACTGTAAGCAAACAGGGCTGCTGAATTAATAACTGTGTCAGCCAAACAACTTTTCATATCTCAGTTCTTCACGGTGTCATCACTGTATGCAAACAAGCATCCAAGTTTGCCTGCTACACTGGCAGCTGGAGCTCCAACCTTTAGTCAGGTAAGTATTGCAATCAGTGAGATATTGCATCACTTCCTACATTAAAGGGCTCTGTAGCACAGCACTGTCTTAAAATAAGCACAGGGATGCCTCAAATGTTTCCTAAAATCAGTGCTTAACCAAACCGTATGTTGCATTACCTAAACTGCACTTTAAAACTGCCTGCATTTAATGCTTGCTTTCAGCAGTGAGCGGTAAACATAATGAATGTAAAAGCTGCCTCAGCCAAAGTCAAATCATTCTGTATATTTCAAAACATGGTCTGTTTCAATGTCTTCACCATATAAACAGCAATCAATCCTTATCTTTAAACCGTCAATTCAGAAAAACAAAGCCTCTACAGCAAAAATGAAGACAAAAGAAAAAACACCCTCTTCACAATAATGAGCTCATTTGCACATTTAGCTGGAAATGGGTCTCCTCGCTGTCTGATGAGCAGCTCTGCTGATGACAGCCACGTGAAGGAATGCAGTGTATGGATGTACAGTTATAACTACTAGGGCTGATGTCTCTCTCTCCATACGAGACACATGCCTCAAGCCAAAACAGCCTTTCATCCTCGCAGAGCCATGCATTATTGATGATTAGACCAGAGAGAGACACTGAAACACACACTGTGTTTCCCAGTGTGCTGG